CAACGTTTTTGCTGAACGGAGAATTAAACCATATGATGTTTCTCTTTAGCTTATTAGTATCATTTGAGCCTACATTTGGATGGTATTGTATGTTGTTTCTAAATCCAGACTTTTTTAATGCATCTTTATAAATAGGGGCAGTATTATTAAAAATTGCTTCGCTGGAAGAATTGGTTGATAACCTACGCTCAGTTGAAGTTGGTAAGTTGTTTTAAAATATTAGGTGGATAGTTGGAACTAGCGTGGATGTAATTTAACGTACTATCAGGTTTGCGGTATGGTTGGAAACTACTGTTGTTAAGGTTCAATGTTACATCTAGGTAATTAGCAATTTTCATATTAATTTGGATAGAAATACTAATGCTGTTTTGCGTAAAATGTTTCTTAATTTTCTCCATTTTAGGACCGCTTGCATTTTTGAACACAGCTAAGTCATCATCTCTATACAACCCCAAATCATACTTGCTATAAAATTGGGAGATTTGGAAAAGAAGGAAAATTCCAACTAATTCACAAACCTCCGCACCATCACATGCACCCATGGTTACATCAAACAAACCACTCGATTTCTTTATCCAAACTTGGTCGTTGGTAAATAATAATGATTTTCGCTCAGTAGTGATGGGATTTATGATCAGTAGTGATGGTAACATATTGCTCTGCAAAGTGAATGGATAAGGAGTTTTTCGTTAATTGAAGGATAAAAGTCAACAATGTCAAAAATAAAGAAAACTATAAATGTGTTTATCTTTAATATTTTTGAACCAATTAATTACGTCTTCTGTGTTACTCCACTGATTTAGTTGCAAAATATTTCTTAGATTGGTGTTAATATCAAATAAAATATGCTTACTAATTTTTCCGATTTCGTTCTTAGTAGGATTTATAAAGCAAACTGTAGGATTATTTAAAAAGTTTGATTTATGATCTTTCAATGTAATAAAACAATCAGAAGATCCATTTATATTGATTTTGTTATATATATCGTCATTCAGAAGAATGACGATATATATAACGCCTTATAAATTTCAATTTCAACTGAGCGTAGGTTTTTAACCGATTCTTCCAGCGAAGCAATTTTTAATAATACTGCCCCTATTTATAAAGATGCATTAAAAAAGTCTGGATTTAGAAACAACATACAATACCATCCAAATGTAGGCTCAAATGATACTAATAAGCTAAAGAGAAACATCATATGGTTTAATTCTCCGTTCAGCAAAAACGTTGTCGCCAAAATAGGACACCTTTTTTTGAAGTTAATTGACTTGCATTTTCTTCTTCATCATAAGTTCCAGAAGATATTTAACAGAAATACAATCAAAATTAGTTACAGCTGCATGCCGAATGTTCGATCAATAATTAATTCACACAACCAAAAAGTATTAGGCAACAAACCCACTGCTTGTGTCACCAACTGCAACTGTATTAATAAACCTTCATGCCCTTTAAATAATCAATGCTTATCTAAAAATGTTGTGTATAAAGCCACTATATCTTTAGCTAACCCTAGTAATTCCAAAAAATCGTATATTGGTATCAGTGAAGGCTCATTCAAGCTTAGGTTTGCAAACCATTTAAAATCATTTAATGCTACTAGATACGAAAACTATACAGAACTTTCTAAAGAAATATGGAAGGTATTATGCCGTTAGTCAATTGGAACATTATTAAAAAGTGTCAACCATAATCCATCAACTAAAAGATGTAATCTTTGTTTATATGAAAAGTATTTAATTATGACTTATGATCAAGAATCATTACTTAATATAAAAAGTGAGTTGGTTTCTTCTTGCAGGCATAGAAAAAAATTTCTGCTTTCACAATTCGATACCGGGGATTAGGACTCATGATATCGTCTGACGTAAACTTGACGTCAGTTGCAACGCTAAAAAATAGTATTTTTAACGGTTTTTTAATTTGTAAATTTTGAATAATATGGCTGAATGATTGCCGAATGGCATGAAACTAATAGTTCCATAAAAAAGTTGTATTTTTTCATTTAAATTATATATATATAAAATTGAATTATTTTACAAAGAAATATTGATCACTCTTAATCAGACAAGAGTTATATTTTTAACAAAATACTATACCTATCAACAATTAAAAAAAAAATTAAAAATTTATATATATATATATATATATATATATATATATATATATATATATATATATATATATATATATATATATATATATATATATATATATATATATATATATATATATATATATATATATATATATATATATATATATATATATATACAATAAATGTGAACATATTTTAAAGAAAAACATGATATTTTTTAATCTTGACATGTTTTGTAATTAGCATACTACATTTTCAAAGATAAAATTACAATTTGAAACTCTGAATATAAATATAAAATCAAAATTTTAAGACATTACAGAGAAATATTAACAGACAAATAGAATTGTTATAAACCAATAAAAATTTTAATACAAATTATTATACTGTAATAGTAAAAAACAACAAATAATAATAAATTTAAAAAAAAAAAAAAAAAAAACTAAATTGACAAATTTATATTATAATGAATAGTGTGTTTATTTAAAGATGGATTTTTCCATTTAATATGGAGTGCTTCAAATTTTGATTTTATATTCATATCCAGATTTTTAAATCGTTTATATATATATATATATATATATATATATATATATATATATATATATATATATATATATATATATATATATATATATATATATATATATATATATATATATATCTTTTTCAAAATTCTTTCTTGCTGGCCATCATTTTGTATGGAAATCTTTTTTATTTTATGGATAATAAGTATAAACTGATGTTTGTTATACTTAACGAGTAATTAATCAGGATACTGCTACATTTAAATTTGTCTCTATGAAACTCCATTACGGCAATCAAATAGGATTTTTAGGTGCCTAATGTTTTCCCCTCCAACCTTCTTTAGCGTGCTATTATCGACACACTTGAGATAGCTTGCCTAGGTAAATTTTCTATTTTAAAATGGTTTTCCGTAACTATTAAAAAATTAATAAAGTTTTTTTTTTAAGATTCTATAAATAAAGTTAGTAAATTTATTTCTTGCCATACCAAGATAAAATACCGCAGAAGTTAAGTGTGATTAAGTAGAACATAAAAGTAAAAGTCGGAAGTAATTGATTTAGAAAGATAGCATAAAGAAATGCGGACAGACCGGTCATTTAAAAAAAAAAAAAAAAAAAAAAAAAAACAAGAAACTTCTTTCATCTTTTTGGTATAAAAAAAACATTTGCAGGTGCTTTTTTTTATAATTTTATTTATTATTAAATTGGAAACAAAGCATGTAGTATCTGAAGTCAATAAAACTTTATGGTGTACCATTTTTATCTTTTTAACACCCATTAAAAAGTTTTATGCACTTGAAATGTATGCTCTACATATGTCAAGTTTCTCGTAAAATTCAAACATTTTAACCTGATTCTATTCAACTTTTACCTTTTTTTATATTCCTTTTTTAATGCAACGGCTGTGGTTAGTGTTAAACATTAATTATGAGGCTTAATTACTTAATAACAAGAATTAATTGAAAAGAAAGTAATAAATCAATTAGCTTGAGATAAAACTTAGAAAACTTATTAGTCTGGTTTGTACACTTTATAAAAGTTGAACAGCTGTGGCGCAGTGATAGCGCACTCGCCACAGAAACAAGGATCCTTGGTTCAATCTTCACCTCTGAGAAAGTTTTGCTACATCGGTTAGGAAGGTGGCGTGAACTTCCTATTAAATGCTCATCCGCGATGCTCTGTGATAAGACCGTAAGGAATTCTTGGGGCACCTTAATAAAAAAGAAAAAGTACCGCGGCACTTTGTCTATTGCAACTAGCAGTTTTTTTTTCATGCTCCAAATAGCACAATTTTTAACAGAAAAATATTTTGTATATAAGTATAAACATACTAAAGTTTGGAGTTCAGAACCTGTAAGCTACTTAAATACCAAAAAATCCTAAAATACTTTTTTTAAATTACATTAACATTCATTTAGCTTAAGTTGTTTCATTTAGAATTTTCGACTTATAGCGTGAGCTTAAATCAGAGTTGTTTTTCCTTGGCCTTGCCTTTTATCTGATAATATTAATACGCTAATTTAATAGTAGTTATACTTACGTAATTTTCTAGACTTTTCTATTTTAAAGTCGTTTCTAGACTTTTCTATACGCGAATGTTTTTTTTTACTAACAACCCGTATTACGGGTGGTAGGCTCTCTTGTCAAACCGTTATTCCGACGCTGTCCTTAAGGTCCGAAAATGTAAAAAAACGACTTTTTTATTTAAAAGAGAACCTGCCTACTCCAAACCCTCAGTCGTTGTTTCCACACTCCGCTGCATGTTCTCTCTAAAAATAATTCGGTGTATGTGCACACCGCAGCGCAAATCCCTATATACCCCATTTCGCCTATTTTCTAGAAATACAAGCTCGCGGACGCAAAAGACGCTCAACGTCGGAATAGGGGTTTGACAAGAGAGCCTACCATTACGGGTTGCTTACTGCTAGTATAAACTATTTTTACAAAATGTGATTTTATTGTCGAAGCACTTGGTAATTACAGTTTCGTTAATAATTGGCCTTAACACAAGGCAATTAAAGTCTTTGGTGTTGAAAATGTTTGCGTAGGTCTTGGCCTTGAAACTCTTAATCTTGACCTTAAAACTCTTGGCCTTGTTAACAACTCTTAAATGACATAATTTAACGTATTTTTGCGTGTTTGTATAGTTTGTATAGTATAGGTCTGTATAGCTTGATGAAATTTAAAAAAAAGTTTTGGTGAAATTTTAATTCACATGTGATTTAAGGAGAGTTTCTTAAAAATTAAAAATTGCGTTTTATACTTTCCACTTATTTTCGACTATTATATTATATAATTATATATTTTTTAAAAGTAGAACTTAAACAGACAGCTGTTATGAATTAGTAACAAAAAAAAAAAAAAAAAAAATGCTATGATGCATGTGCGATTTACATGTTTAAAAATGCAACAATAAATATATTTCAAGTTGAAAAAGTTGAAAGGTATTTAAGTCAATGAAAGGAAGTTTTATCTATTTACAAATTGATGCTTCACAACTATTATCAAAATTTTCATCAAATGAAGGCAAGCCCAATCCTAATTTTAATTCCCCAAGCTTATAATTCTGTAAAACAACATCATTTACCATATAACACATTTTCCCAAGATTATTGTTATAACTTCGCGTAGAAATAGATTTTATTTTATTGGTTAACTGTCTTTTAGAAATATCGTACCGAAAGGATAAATTTTTCATTCTTGAGTATTTTCGCCAAAACTGAATAAATTCAACCACCATCTCTCTTAACCGCGTGGAGCTACCGTGAATATATTGAAGTAAGAATGGCATAGCTGAAATATGAAAACCAAATAAAACTTAAATGGTAATATGAAAATATAAACAAATATAAAAATATTAACAATCAAAGTTTTTAAAACTAAAAAAGTGCTAAAAAAAATAAAATTTTAGATATATTTATCTATCTATATTTATAGATATCCGCCAATAATTTTTTTTACAAAACGAATTTTAATTTTCAAATTTTTATATAACTTCAATTCATTTGAGATTCAAGTTGACCTGTTTATAAATAACTAAATTTTCATAATATAAGGGACGTGTTAAAATCAAAAGTACCACGACATGTTCTAGAATGTTCCGTGGGTTCTGAACTCGACCATTTTTGATTTTTTACAGGCTCTTGAAGTGATTTTCTTTTTAATCACTTCAAGAAGTGCGGAACACTAAAGAGCCTGTAAAAATCAAACATGGTCGAGTTCAGGAGTCACGAAACATTCTAGAACACGCCGTGGTACTTTTGATTGGCTGAATCCTAAGACCTTGGCAGTCATTCCAGAATACAAGATAAGAAAAGTTAGAGAATCCTTGGAGATAAATAAAGCAAAAGTTCGACACGAGATAGGTATTAGGCAAACTGTTCTTAATAGAAATGACGGGGATAATGTGAAAACAAAAACTTGGGGACCAATTTTGACAAAAATTTAACTGACGTCACTTTTAAATTATTTGATTGGTTTTTATATTTTACGCTTTTTAATGTCTTCTTTTTTTAAACGGTTGGTTTTCTGTTATTTTGTAACGTTTTTTCATTACCTGATGACGCTGACCACAATAGGTCAGCGAAATATCGTTAATATATTATTATATCAAAATATATTTAAAAAAAAGTTATACGCTGCCTTTTTTATTGAGATCAATTTATGTATATATATATATATATATATATATATATATATATATATATATATATATATATATATATATATATATATATATATATGTATGTATGTATGTATGTATGTATGTATGTATGTATGTATGTATGTATGTATGTATGTATGTATGTATGTATGTATGTATGTATGTATGTATGTATATGTATATATATATATATATATATATATATATATATATATATATATATATATATATATATATAATATATATGTATGTATGTATGTATGTATGTATGTATGTATGTATGTATGTATGTATGTATGTATGTATGTATGTATGTATGTATGTATGTATGTATGTATGTATGTATGTATGTATGTATGTATATATATATATATATATATATATATATATATATAAAAGGATGTTTCAAAATTTCACTTTTTTTGAAATCAAAAATGAAAAAAAAAAAGTTATACGCTGCCTTTTTTATTATATATATATATATATATATATATATATATATATATATATATATATATATATATATATATATATATATATATATATATATATATATATATATATATATATATATATATATATATATATATATATATATATATATATATATATATATATGTATATATATATATACAAAAGGATGTTTCAAAATTTCACTTTTTTTGAAATCAAAAATGTTTGGGACAGCACCTGATAGCATTTTTTATGCTGATTTTAAACCTCTATTCAGAATACAAACTGTTTGATTTTTTGAGTAAACTGGATATCAACTGGTCCTTAAAGTTTTGAAAATCAGTCAAAATCACAATTTTTTTCCCATTTTCTTATAAAAATCAATTTTTTGCACCAACATTTTAGATTACTCAATAATGATTTGAAATTTATATGGAAATTCGATTTTTTTGAAACCAATTTTCCATATAAAATTATGTAAAAATTTTAATGTTTCTTACAGTGTTTTTTTATTACGCGGCAAAAAATATTTACCTGGGTAATGGGTAAACTTAAATTTACCCTGGTAATATCTGGGTATTACCAGGGTAGATTTAATATTATTACCTGGATAGTTTTATCAATTAGATGTTACAGCAGCTATTAAATAACCTATGGGGTGTAAATTTAGTTAATTTTGATTTAAAAAACAAGCTTTTAAAAAGCTAAAATAAAGAAGTTTTATAGCTTTTATCTTTAAACAACATTTTTCATTTTTTTGTAAAACTGACACATGATACTGACACATTAAAATCAATGCATCACCCTTGATGCATTGATTTTAATAATAATAATAACACACACTGCGACAATTGATGAAAATAATTGCACAATAACAGATGATGTTGTGCTGTAACAACTATAAATGTTTTTATAATAGCATTATTTACTTTTTAATATTTATAATCTTTAGTTTTATTTAATAAATAATTTTTGCAATAGTTAGATATATCAACTTTATTTTTTCTTAAAAAGTTTTTTTAAGATTTTTCACGCTTCAAATAAACTCATCTCTTTTTTCAAAATCTATATTCCAATCTTATCTTCTGTGATAGCTTCATGCTCTGTTTGTTGAATAAATGAAGGAAAGTTATTTGAAAGATAATTTTTTTCATCAATTTTTAATCTTTGATCAGGTGTACTACTAACTTCAAAATCAACTGGTAGCTCTTCACCTGCTTTCTGTGGATAAAGTCTGTTTAAAATTGAAGTAACCAGAGATATTATAATACGTTTTTTTATTTTTAGACCGAACTGATCTTTTTGCTCTTCCAAAGTGTCCGAAGATTTTAAATATTGTATTAAGTGTACAAGATCTTTGTGTATTGTATTAAGTGTACAAGATCAAGGGGTTTCTTCTCTCTTAAATTTGGTCTTCAAGTTTTTCTAGGAGAGCAAGGCATATTGATGTACCTTGATCTTCCAGCTTCTTAGCTGCAAATTTAGTAATTTTTTCAGCAAGCAAAAGATCAGCGTCTTTCTTGCATAAATATTCTACAGTCATCTCAATGGGAGCAAGAGCATCACATAGTTTTTTCTCCAATTTTTTATCGGAAACATCAAATTTTTGTTCAAGATGGATCATTGCTAATATAACTTCTTTGCAAACTTCATAAAATCTTAATAGCATTTTAATAAGGCTATTCCATCACATTTATTCCATTGCATTTTACAATCTGAAAATAAAACCTTTTCCTTTCCAAAGGACTGAATATTTTAAGGTTGAAGATTGCCAGTATTTCTGACTGGGGACTTTCTGAAGACTTTAACAATTTTATGAATTTTAGCAACAGTAGCACCGATTCAGAAACTAGGTTTGTTTCAGTGCTTAACTTATTACATTCTTTTATTCTTCATAATCCTCTTCCTCTTCAGTTTGATCATAAATTTGAATTTCATAAAAACACTCGCACCATTAGTGGTTGTTGCTACAATGTTGTTGTCCAAAATCAAATTCATAAAACGAACGTTTTATAAATTTGAAAAAGACCATAATCTGCAATTTGTTTATCACCTCACCAAGAGGTTCAAAGCTTTTCTTAAAGAAAGTATCAATGTGAGAAACTTTTGATGGTGTTGATGATTGTTTTTCTGGTGATAGATCTTTCCCAAGACAAAATTTAACTTGAATCTTATGCTTTTGCTTGAAGGTGATATGCTGAGCAAATTATGCTCTTTGAACTATCTTCTGTTTTGATATACAAAAAATGCTCCCTAACACATGATTTTCTTTGAGAACTGACATCTTTAAGGTCAGACATTAAAAAAAAATCTTATTTATTCTGTTAAATATAATGTTATATGTTAATTAATAACTATGTATATTTAAAAAAAATAATTACACTTTTTTTTTATAAGAAACCAAGAAAATTAAGTATTACTAGAAAGTGCCTTATTTTAGGCTTTGATGCTAAAAATTCTTTAGAGCTTATTAGAGATATATTGCAATATATAAATTCTTATTATTTAGTACTAGTTTCTTATAAACAACTTTCTTATTAAAAAAACATGTATAACTTTGACAATCATGTTAATAGCAAATAAATTAAATTTAAACTTTAAATTCACTATAAAATATTTTACATACTGAAAATCTCAATTTTAATTTGTTTACATTGTATTAGTACTTATGTAAGAGCTAGGGACTAAGCTGGATACCTCAGCAAATTCAATAAAGGTGGCAAATATTATAAAGCTTTTTTATAAAGTTAAATGTCTTTACAAAGTTGATCACAATCAAAAATGTTCATTTACAGAAATAACTTTTGAAAAAATTTAAAATCACTTGAAATTACCCAGGTAAGAAAAACTTGCAAATTACCCAGGTAACGGTTAAGGTAATATAATAAGGTAAGAAACAATGGTTTATTTATTTTTTTCTATGTTTCAACTTGAATAACCAAAAAGCAAAAGTCTTATAGTCCAGGAGTATAACTCAATAAACAACTGTTTGTGGAAAAAAATCTCTATAAAGCTGAAACTTTGCCAAGTGATTCCCTAAGGTATAAAGATCATGTAAAAAAAATTCCCAATGATTCCCAACAGAAGAACCTTTTTTGGGCCCTATTTCAAAATGACGCAAGTGCTAAAAAGTAAAAAAAAAAACTGTGTTCAAATATAGACTTATTATATACCATTTTAAAGCATTTTTTATGCGGAACAATTAATAAGTAATAAAAAATGGTCTGAAAAACTAGCCTATAAAAATAACAACAGGTTTGAAAATATTGAAAGTTGATTTTAAGAAGACATTGCATTTTAATTGATCTTTTAGAGATTTTCAAAACTTTTAATTGAGTTTTTTGTGTTTTTTTCTGATGTGCCAGAGTTGTATAAAAATATGCAAATTGTTAAGATCTAATCACCGTTCTTTTTTTTTTTCCACCAATCTTTTTTCTCCCAGTTTTTATTTATTTTACTATGTGATGTTCTTCATCTTGAAATAGTATTTTAATTTTTCAACATAATTGTAGGGGTATTAAATCTATTTCAAATTTGTATAAAATTTATTTAATGGTGTTGGATATTGTCACAAAACATTTTGATCAAAACTGAAGGTAAGGTATAAAGATCATGCCATTTTGTCCAAAGTGCTGGCTGTAAGAGTGAACTGGTTTTGTTTAAAAATATAGGGGAC